TTGGAATGATGGAGTGTTTTGTTATACTGCCTATAGCACTATAAATCGAACGTTAAAAAATCGATCACCCGCGCGGGAGGAAAACGGCGGGAAAACAAAGCGGTGCAAGTCTGAAATGCCAAACCGCTTATGATCCGGCTCATTTCCGGTAGGGGCAAGCCCTGTGTGAAATGGCAGCCCTGTACTGGTTCACTTCAAAACGGATGATTGCCGGCTTGAAACCGGGTGAAACTGGGTAATGTGAAATTCCCCTCTCTCTTTCTCACCTTCCACAAGCTCCACCTTCTGGTGTATCAAAATTTGATCGATCTGAGAAGAAACACAAAAACCACACCACAGTAAGAAACAGGCCGCATTACGAAAAAAACACCTGATAAGTCTAAACACCAGGAGGTCCCAAACCAGAATAATCCCAAAACAGCCAGGTGCCCACAAGCCCCAGAAATGGGCCAAGGAGGTATGTGCCAAATAGCAGGTTTTGTCCTCATGGGGGGTGGGAACACCACGACGGTGTTCACAAGCGGAATCCAGGCCGTGCGCCCAATCGAGCAGTTTGCATGTCTCAAATTATTACCAAGAAGGGCGTCAAGGCCAGAGGGAAGCCCTTCGAGGACTGGCTTGGAGCCCTTCTCCTGAAAGCCGGTCCACTGAATTCAGGGGCCACCACAGGGCCCCACCCCAGTGTTCCCTCTAAGCTGAGTGAGTGTGAGCCAGCTCACAGTCGTTTAGCTTCCAGCTCACACATTTTTGTCTTAGCTCAGGAAGGAGGGCTCCAGAGGAAACTCATTTATGCAGGAGCCAAACCGCTGGCTCACAACTTTCATGCCAGCAGCTCACAAAGTGGAATTGTTGCTCACAGGACTCCACAGCTTAGAATTGTTGCTCACAAGACTCCACAGCTTAGAGGAAGCCTTGGCCCCGCCTGGACCTCCATCCATCCAAGCCGGTCTGCTCTTTGCAGCCTCTCTAACCGGCCAGGGTGCCTATTGTTCCGCTTCCACAGGAAAGACGGCCACACCACAGCCAGGGGCAGATCCTGCTCCAGGTGGAGGTGCTCTGCCCTGTTTTTCCATCCTGGCCACGGACATGTGACTGTCTCAGGATGGGGGGGGAGAAGGGTGCGTCTGGGGCACACACCAAGGGTCAATTCAGGGACCTCTGGGGTAGACAGGGGCAGATGCACAAGAACCCCTCTGCCCGGAGAGGGAAGCTACTTTTCAAGCCACCGTTCTCTTCGGGCTCAGTATGGGCCCAGGATTCACCCCTGGTACTTTGCTTCCATTCAGAGAGCCGTGCCACGAAATGAATCGTAGAACAGCTGCGGGGGAGAGCTCTCCGCCACTCCGTAGCCCCTTACCACACCAGCCCCCCCCCCCACGGACACTCCATGGCATGAACTGAAACAGAACCTGGCTGGACCTGACCCAAGATCATAAGAACGTCAGAAGGGCCCTGCTGGATCAGACCAGGGAAGGTCCATCTAGTCCAGCATCCTACCTCCCACACTGGCCAACAAGTTCCCCTGGACGGCAAGCAACAGGTCATAGAGACTGAGGCCTTTGTAAGAACCTCAGAAGAGCCCTGCTGGATCAGACCAGTGAGGGTCCATTCAGTCCAGCCTCCTGTCTCACCCAGTGGCCAACCAGTTCCTCTGCAGGGCCAGCAACAGGGCAGAGGGGCAGAGGCCTTCCCTGATCAGAACATCAGAAG